AGCATAAGAAACAATCTAGAAGAATAAAAATTTGCATTTAAAATATCCTAAACTAAGAATATTTCACTTTTGTATTTCATTTTTTGTATTAATTTTTGTCATTTACCCTTGAAATGACATTTTGATGATATCAGTATACAATAATTATAATAAAACTTAAGTGAATATGCAAACTGAGATATTTAAAAGTAATATATAATAAATTAATTGCTTTAGGACATTTGAAAATTAATTCTCAAAAGTACCCAATTGAAATAAAAGTAAGAAACAATACAGGAATGTCCACTGGAGAAATTAACAGGAAATGACAAAGAAATTAGATTTAAAAACACTTTAAGGCTAATTTATAGAGGCAAAGCATCTTTTTTTTTTTTTTGGATAACACAATTCTACTTCTGGAAAACCTAAGAGAAACAACATAAAAGACTTCTGCAAATAATTACAGAACTCATTAGAGTAAATGATTACAAAATGAACATATACCAAATCAGCATCCTTCCTAAATACAACCAACCAGTTAGGACAATATTATTTCTGGAAAATGAGAGACTAAACTAACAGGGACACCCTCCCTCAATTCCTACCAATGTTATAAATGCACAAAACTCTGAGATAAAACACAACACCCCAACATTTAAAATATACCTGAGATTAAAAAACAAACAAAAGAACAGACCAGGCATGGTGGCTCATGCCTATAAGTAATATCAGCACTTTGGGAGGCCTAGTTGGGCAGACCACCTGAGGTCAGGAGTTCAAAACCAGCATGGCCAAAAGAGCAACATCCTGTCTCTACTAAAAATACAAAAATTAGCTGGGCGTGGTGGCATGCCCCTGTAATCCCAGCTATTCAGGAGGCTGAAGCAGGAGAATCGCTTGAACCTGGGAGGTAGAGTTGGCTGTCAGCAGAGATCATGCCACTGTACTCCAGCCTGGGCGACAGAACAAAACTCTGTCTCAAAAAAATAAAAGAACAACAAAAACCCCAAGAGTAAGAAACTAAAGCAGAATCTGAAGCCAGGAGGTCATATTGTGGAGTTCGGGGAATTATAAGCTAGGTCAGATACAGGCTCTACAAGTTGAGTTTCTAGGGCCCACAAGAGTACATGAAATGTGGCCTTAAGCCCACAGAATACAGAAAATGAAACTAAAATCCCTGTGTAAAACCAGGACTCTGGAAAAGCTGGAAAAGCAGTAAAATAGGACAAAACCATTTCTATCAGCTCACAGACCCAAAAGAGAAACCTGTCTGGGGAAGAGAGATGGAGAAATAGGAGGAAGGTTGGAGGATTGGGGTGATGTCTTAAGAGAAATGGAAACTCCATGCCTGTTCCATGCATAAATATAAGAGAGAAAATCCCCATGAAATTCCATGTTACAGGAATCCCACCAAGAAATCAACACAATATTCGACTTGCTCTGGAAAAACCCTTCAGACATCTTACTGAAACAAACACCAAACTACTTTGATGAATACTTCCACAAAATGACAACATACAAGACTGCTCCCCCATTTAAGAGAACTCAAACATAAGAACAAGCATGCAGAACACACTTGAGAACTGGCATCCCAAAAACAAAGAGCCTGGGTAACAGAACCTATAAAACAGATTA